ATTGTGAATTGTGATGGTTTATTGTGAATTGAGAGGGGTCCGTCATACGGGACAGATTAGTAAAAAAGGGGTATTGGTCGCTTTGCCGAGTGTTACACTCGGCAAAGCGAGGCGTTACCGAGTATCAAGGCAAAACACTCGACGAAGAGACCAATTTCTGTTATTCTGGGAACCTTTTTTGCCGAGTGTTGTGTCTTTGCCGAGTGTATTCTAATGGACACTCGGCAAAGTAACCATAAAATCTGCCCGTTGCGAGAAACTTTGCCGAGTGTATTGGACGTGACACTCGGCAAAGTGTGTAAGCTTTGCCGAGTGCTTTGCTCTTGACACTCGGCAAACTTTAGAAGCTTTACTGAGTGTTTTTGTGTTCACACTAGGCAAACTTTAGAAACTTTACCGAGTGTTTCTGGATTGACACTCGGCAAAGTTTCTCAAGTTTGTCTAGTGTTTTTTCGTCGTGCACTCAGCAAAATCGCCGTCACCGTGCCATCCCGTTAATATTTTTTTGCCGAGAGTTTATTTTTGCCGAGTGTTTATTGACACTCGGCAAACTATTTGCCAAGTGCGCGATAAAAAACACTCGGCAAACTACTGTTTGCCGACAGATTAATGTCGTGTGTTGTATGCCGAGTGTTACACTCGGCAAAGCATTTGCCGAGTGTGTTTTGGACACTCGGCAAAGCTACTGTATCCCGTACTTATTACACTGCATCTGCATGCATGCATAGTACGTTCCACAAGTGAAGAAGCTTATGCATGCGCGCAACCTGCACCAACGCAAAATGCAGTCCGGTGACCCTTTCATCAACATGCAACTCGGCCACTTTGATAGCGTGGGCCCTGCACAACCATGGCAAATGCAAACCTTGCCGGCCCCCAACGCCGACGTCACCACGCTCCTCAACACCTTCGCCACCAATGGCAAGGGCTTCGACAACCCCATCGAGGTGGTCGCGCTCTCCGGCGCCCACACCGTCGGCAAGGCGCGGTGCAGCTCCTTCAGCGACCGCACCATCCGCTCCAACCCCAACGACAACTTCGCCAAGGAGCTCGCCCAATTCTGCGGCGGCGACGGGAACCGGCAGCGCAACCTGGACGAGATCACGCCGGACTCCTTCGACAACAGGTACTTTATTGACCTCATCAGCAGGAAGGGAGTGCTCACCTCCGACCAGGGGCTGGCCAACGACGGCCGCACCGGCTGGATCGTCAACGTCTTCGCCAACAACCAGGGCAACTTCTTCGAAAAGTTTGCGCAGGCGATGGAGAAGATGAGCAGGCTGACGAGCCCCGGAGGTGTGAAAGCCCGACGCAACTGCTTGAGTGCTTGAAGCGCGACGCCGGCGTCAACCTCCAGACCAACGTTGCAGCTGCTGGCTCAGGCGACGACGAGGGCCTTGCGGCCTCTGCTTGATCGAGACCGCTGCTGCCAGCATGTGGTCTGTCGATCGTCAAATAAGTAACTAGTGTCCGGCAATGTTTGTCGTTGTTTGTTAGCAAGCTAAACCAAGCTTAGTTGGTTCGTCCAGGTTACCCAACCAGAGCATCTAGGTCGTTCTCAAGTCATTGTTGACGTTGAGACGAATTTGGGTGCTTCTGCTATTTTCCTCTTAAATAAAAATGTAGCCTATTTATTTTACTCCTAGCATAGCAGATGTGCGTGCGATTGAGAAAATGAAAGAGCATGTTATGTTTAGTTTCCCCTTTCCATAGGCATACATAGAAACTTCAATCGAGCCGAATGAAAATCTCCGAAAATTGTATTAATGTTGAACCAAATATTTGGAAAATCCTGATCTACCTCTTCCGATCCAATATGTTAAAGCATGTTACAGAATTTGTTCAACCATACTTTCCAAAGCGTTGATATTTATGAATATACTCCTAATAATAGAAGGAAGAAACAAACAAATACAACAATTCTTAAAATCTAGTATTTTTCAGCGGAAGCTCAAAGGCAGTCCTAATTAACCTTGGGCCTGTGGTCATGGCCACCTGCTAACGGACCGCTAATTGGGCCAGTTTGGTTGTCCTATCATGTGGCAACCTTCGTCCACATTGGATAAGAGGCCCCTTTATTTGGCCTGCCTATTGATACTATAGGTTTTTTTTTCTATTTTTGAGCATATATGCTTCGTCTCTCTAATAATGCTAACAGGCACGTCATTACCCATGGAAAGAGGAAATGGAGGTCTACCGCCGCGAGTAGTCCCAAACCTGCTGCACCTGCATCCATATACCTCTACTAAAACCAATGACTAAACTTTAGTCACCGATTTTAGTGATTAAAAGTGACTAAATGCTATTAAACAGTTCAACAAAGATCAAATTACTCTTAATGAATGTCCAAATCAGGGTGGGGGCCAGCAATAATAAGGGATAGCCCTTGCCCACTAGGCATTTTAGCTCACTTTTAACTACTCTTGGGTGACTAATGTAACTAAACTAATTTAGTCAATTTTTAGTCAGTTTGTTTGGTAGTTTATTAATAGCTAAAGTGACTAAAGTTTAGCTTTAGCAGGGAAACCAAATAGGCCTAAACTAATAGAACATGGAGATGACTATAGGCAACATAGCGTAATCAAGCAAATACAATTATTTATACTAAATACGGCTTCCCTGTGTTTTTGTGGGACAACCGAACATCAAGATATTGTAAAACAAAAACGTTATATTGGTCTGAATTATGCTACAAAAATGTCACTAACCACACCCTATCTGCTGCATGAGTCTTTAATGTGCTATATAGATTGAGACATTGAGTCTTGAATTAAGTAGCCGTTAGAGACGATGGAGGAACGGCACTGCAGCCACCCGCGATGGAATCGCGTGTGCACCTGCACCTGCATGGCTGCACATGCAGGCACGACTCGTCTTGTTCAGTTCTTCTCCTTTAGGTTTAATTTCTATCGTTGAATGTTTAGAGACATATATGGAGTATTAAGGACCTTTTTAGCATGGTTTATGCTGGCTTCGGCTTCATCTATTTTGCGCAAATCGAGGCACTGTAGCGTGAAGCCGTTTTGTAAGCCGGGGTTAAAATGAACTAGAAGCCGGGAAAAACCAGTTTTTTTTGCTTCACCGGCTTTGGCTTCACCGGTGAAACCGTTTTGGATGAGCCGTGCCAAAGGGGGCTTAAATATAGACTAAAAAATAATTAATTGTACAGATTGTGACTACTTTGCAAGATAAATTTTTTAAGCCTAATTAGTTCATGATTTGATAATGGTGTGCTACAGTAAACATGTGCTAATGATGAATTAATTATGCTTAATAAACTCGTCTCATGGATTGTTAAGGATTTCTGTAATTTATTTTATTATTATTATCCAAACATTTTCATATAATACCTGATGTAACCGTCAATATGACATCCCTCAATTTTACTCCTCGGATTTAAACAACACCCCACTCTGATCGTCAATTTCTCAGCCCTTGTTTAGTTGGACCCCAAATTTCAAAAAGTTGCTACAGTATCTGTCATATCGAATGTTTGGGGCCCGTGCATGGAGCATTAAATGTAGACAAAAAAAACTAATTGCACAGTTTGATGGGAAATTGCGAGACGAACGTTTTGAGCCTAATTAGTCCATGATTGAACACTATTTGCCAAATAAAAACGAACGTGCTACAATAGCCCCAAAATCCAACTTTGGGGAACTAAACGCGCGCTCAATCACGTGAAGCGATGCGATGCAGCATCGATCGTCGTGCCCCCAAGGCCGCAACGAAGATCTACTCCTGCTTCTCCGGTTACTCCCTACATTCACATCAATCAAACTCTCAAATTTAACCAAGTTTATATTTTTAAACAAATTTATTTTAAAAATATATTTTATAACTAATCTAATGGTACTTATTTTATATCACGAATGTTAATATTTTTTTATATAAATTTAGTCAAAGTTCAAACTCTTTGACTTCTTAAAAAACAAGAATTGTATTTTTTTTTATGGACGAAGAGAGTATTAATCATATCCATCTGTACCACTGTACCTCTCGTCTCGTAGACCATTTTTTTTATTTGACATATTAAATTTATCTTAAACTAAGCATCCATAATTTTAGCTATTAATTTAAAAAAAATCCATATAGTCTGAAGACACATGAACTATATATAATAGTTAGTTTTCATAAATTCTAAAGGTAATAAATCTTATATTATTAACCTATATATATATATTTAAAAATTAAATGTCAAAGATATAAATGCTTGACTCAGGAGAAGACTAATACAACATGTAAAAAGACAGGGGGAGTTGTTATCATATCTCACCTCTGCTTACTAAGATCAAGTATATTGAGAGGATGTATAAGTGGACTATAGAAAGTATCACATGAGACCTGTATTCAGCGGATACACGTGTTTTGAGAAATTCTATGAGGGCTCGTTCTTTTGATCCCAAATCCATGAGGTTTGGAACGGATTGAGAGGGATTCAATCCCCTACAAGTCAAAATCCTCCTCCACCCCCTTCGGTGTCTCCCATCTCAACATCAAACGAACAAGGCTTGAGAGAATAAAGTGGGACAATTATTAATGATGTACCACGCACTTTTTCCGTCCCTAAATAAATTAACTTTTAGAGTTATCTTTAGTCAAACTTTTATAACCTATACTCTTTTAGTAGTGACATATATATATTTGTGTTCTTTCTATAAATTTAGTAAACGTAACAAAGTTTGACTTAACACAACTCCAAGAATTAATTTACTCATCAAATACGGAGAGAGTATTATATGGGTTGGGCTTTTAAATAGGCTGTAAATAATAATGACAATATTGTACAGCTAACAGTTAGCTTGATTATTACCCATGCTTCTCTGGCTAAGCCAGCTCCATGGCCTTGGCTCCAACTGTGAACTGGCTATAAATATCATCAGCTGCGGGCTTCAGTGCACCAGCAAAGCGCTTAGCTACTTTGTTGTATCTACTAGTCGTTTGTCACCTAGTACTAGCTAGTGGTAGACTAGTAGCAACACGACGCGCGGCCGGCGACAATGAGCGGCCGTGTATTCGTCGTGGCCGCCGCCGTCGGTGTGCTGGTCGCCGCCGCTGCCGTCTCCTCGAGGCCCGTCGTGCCTCTGGCTACTAGCCGCCCTGATGCCGGCAGTAACGAGCTGTCCGTGTACTTCCACGTGGACTCGTGCCCGCAGCTGGAGACGATCGTGCGGTCCACCGTGGACGCGGCGCTCCAGCAGAACGTGCGTCTCACAGCGGGGCTCCTCCGGCTCTTCTTCCACGACTGCTTCCCGCAGGGGTGCGACGCGTCCATCCTGCTGGACAACGGCGAGCGCGGCCTCCCGCCCAACATCGGGCTGCAGCAGGAGGCCGTGCAGCTGGTGGAGGACATCCGCGCCAAGGTGCACGCGGCGTGCGGGCCCACGGTCTCGTGCGCCGACATCACCGTGCTGGCCACCCGCGACGCCGTCAGCCTGTCCGGCGGCCCATCCTTCACGGTACCGCTCGGCCGCCTCGACAGCGCGGCGCCGGCGTCCAGCAACGATGTGTTCACGCTGCCGCCGCCGACATCGACCGTGGACGAGCTGCTGTCGGCGTTCGCCAGCAAGAACATGTCGGACCCGGCAGACCTGGTGGCGCTGTCGGGCGCGCACACGGTGGGGAAGGCGCGGTGCAGCTCGTTCGGCGCCGTGGCGGGCCCGGCCACCGACGATATCACCCGGTGCGTGACGGCCACGTGCTCCGCCCCCGGCAGCGCCGACACGCTGCGGGACCTCGACTTCCTGACGCCGACGTTGTTCGACAACCTCTACTTCATCGAGCTGACGCTGAAGAAGAACAAGGGGGTGATGCTGCCGTCGGACCAGGGGCTCGTCACCGACCCGCGCACCAGCTGGCTCGTCCAGGGCTTCGCCGACAACCACTGGTGGTTCTACGACCAGTTCGGGACCTCCATGGTCAAGATGAGCCAGCTCAGGGGCCCGCAGGGGAACGTCGGCGAGATCCGCCGTAACTGCTTCCGCTCAAACACCAACAGCGGTGTCGCCGCCGCCGGCACCACCGCCACTGCTTGAGTGATGAGAGTGATCCGACCTCGGATCCATCCACCACTGTCACTCTCACTCACTGTGTAATAACAATAATAAAAAACAACTTGCGCGGGGGCACGTGGTTGTCCACTAGTAGTAGTGTCCATGTCGCAGTACCGATTTTTGTTCCTGCTCCGATAGTCGGATCTGATCCGATCCTCCTCGCTGTTATAAACTTATTATTTTAATAAAAGTGTTTTATTTACCCCGCATCACATGGCCTGACTTCAAATAAGATCACCTGCTCACCATTTTCTTTTAGGCCCGTTCGCGTGTCCACTCGACTCGGCTTAGATCTACTTTTTTTTGGCATTTTTTTCTCGCAAATTTCTCCGGCATTTCTTCAAATCAAAGCGAATAGACGCTTCTCCCGTCCCGGCTTTACAGACGATTCCTTTTTTCTTTTGACTTTGTTCGATTATACAGTACATCTGAACTTTTTTCCGGATGCAAACAAACAATATAAATTAGGAAAGCTAATTTCAATTTCCAATTTCATACGCAGTGTATACACCCAAACAAGGTGTTAGAGTCTCTAACAAATAACCTATATGGACACCCAAACCCAAAATAAACAGTAAGATATCTAAAATTAACCTTCAATATGGTACCTATACAGGAGATCTATTTTAAGTTGCCTGAGAAGCATAACCTAAATATGGACATCCTCTCTCCTGAAAACCCATTTACAGAAATGATTCTCTTTTAGGTCTTGTTGTTGGAGAAGATGTCGAATATATATTGAATCTTTTGCCTGTAGTGCTACTCAAAGGACGGATGTGTCTTGTATTTTAGGAGTTGTTGTTGTTGGAGATAGCCTTAGTGACTTTAGGTAACGGTTGAAAACAAGACTATTTGCATCTTCTTCTCCACTCAAGTATTTTTTTTAGTAGATCTCCGCCGCCCACCGTCCCCGCCGCGGGGCGGTAGAGTCTCGCCAGAGCTCCGCTGCTGCGGTCGTGGCCGCGGAGCTCCAACGAGACCCTACCGCGTTTGCGGCCACCACCCTCTTTCCCTCCCCCGTCCTCCTCCGACCGCCGCTTTCTTCCCCAATTTAGGCGAGCTCGGCCACCGCCATCTCCTCCAACTCCAGCGGACTACGGAGAATTTTTATTTTTTAACCAGTGCGACCAAACACCGCTGTCGCGCCAACGCATGTGGCGCGGCAACATCTACCACGTTGGACGACGTTTCCGACATGGAAAAGCTTGTCGCACCACTCCCGGTGGCGTGCCAATATTGTTTTATCACGCCACCGGGAGTGGCGTGACAAGACTAAATTTTTGAAAAATTATAACTCTTTAATACGACGTCAGATGAAGATGATTTTATAAGTTTTGAGTTTTTTCGTTTGGGGACGTTAAGATGCTCAAAAAATAATATAAAATTTCAGCACCATAATAATCGAAATCGTGTACCAGTGCTTGCCGCATTTAAAAATAATATCTTTTTGGTATGGGCTCAAAAGAAGATACTTTTTATACCAAAATTATAGCTCTCAATGAGTTCTATAACTTTGTAGTTTTGATTTTTTATATTTGAGATCGTTAAGATGCTCGAGAAAATAATATAAACCTTCAACAGCATATTAATCGTGCACAAGGGCTTATCGACTCACGAAAATTATATTTTTCTTGATAGGTGTCAAATGAGGATATCATTTATATCAAAGTTGTAGCTATCGACGAGATTTACAAGTTTTTAGTTTTGAAGTTTTTCATTTGAGATCATTAAGATGCTCAAGAAAATAATACAAAAATTAAGAGGTATACTAGTCGTGTACTAAAGCTGACTTTTTTAGAAAAAATCATATATTTCCATTTAATGTTGAATAAATACACTTTTTATATGAAAGATGTAGCTATTGATAAAATCTACATCTATCATTCAAAAATTATTTTTATGCAACATCAGATACGAAGTATATGGGTTTTTTCAAAAAAAAAGGTAAGCTTTGGTACACAATTAATATGCTTCTTAAATTTTATATTGTTTTCTTGAACATCTATCTTAAATGAAAATTTTCAAAACTAAGAAGATGTTGACCTAATTGATAGGTTTTAACTTTGATACTAAAAGTATTTCTTTTGACACTTTTGAAGAAAAATATAATTTTCGTGAGACGACAAGTCCTAGTGCACGATTAATATATGCTGAAACTTTAGATTATTTTCTCGAGCATCTTAACAACCTTAAATATAAAAACTCAAAACTACAAAGTTATAGATCTCACTGGGAGCTATAATTTTGATATAAAAAGTATCTTCATTTGACTCCATACAAAAAAGATATTATTTTTTAACGCGGCAAGCGCTGGTACGCGATTATTATGGTTCTAAAATTTTATATTTTTTAGCCTTTTAATGTTATCAAACGAAAATTTTCAAAACTAGAAAATTGTAGATCTCGTCGAGATCTAGAATTTTTATATAAAAATTATCTTCATCCAACGTCGTATTAAAGAGTTATGATTTTTTTTCAAAAATTTAGTCTTGTCATGCCACTCCCGGCGGCGTGTCCTGGTGACGCGACAAAATAATACTGTGGCGTGACAAGCTTTTTCACGTCTGAAATGCCGTCCAACGTGGCAGATGTAGCCACGCCACATGCGCTAACATGACATCGTTATTTGGTTGCGCCAGCAGGACTGACGCGACCAAAAGGGTCTGATCTGCAAAATTTTTCTAGATGTGGTTATTATTAAAATATTAAATAAAAAGGATTAAAAATAAAAAAAAATTCTGAGACTCCCTCGCCCTGATCTGGCCTGGCCGTCGCTACCGCCGCCAGGGCCCCTAAACCGCCAGGCCACCATCCCCACATACTGGTTCACTGTCTCTCCCCCCACCGGCCCCTTCTATAGCCACAAGAGTTGGAGAGGAAAGAGAGTGAGAGGTTCACTGGAACCCTAGCCACCGCCATTGTCGTCTTCGTCTCCGGTGGGCATAGATCCAGGAGGAGGAGGAGCCCGCCTACCTCGTCCGTGCTGGCGCCGCCGAAACCCCCCGCCGCCGCTGGAGGGGTGAGAGGGATGAGTCGCATGGGGGCGCGGGCACGGGCGTTGCGGGCACATGCTGTGAAGAATCGAGTGTTGGATTCGTCCAAAACACTCTGTTGCTATATAACATTTCTGATTTTTTATAACAAAATTCACTAAAGCTAAAGCACAATCTACAACTCTACAAGGAGTGAAGGAGGATGTCAAACACACCCCAATTTACACAGAGCGGTAGTTCTTGGATGGTACCTGGTAGTGCTACTGGAATTAGTCTTGAATAACTAGCATCAATACCTATAGAGATGTGCCACTGATAATGTTGTGGATTTTGGTACATTTAGGGTTAGTTTGGCAAGGCTCTTGCTCCTCCTAAATGGGTTTCACCTTTGGCTTCTCTTGTGAAGTTGCTTCTCTATGGACCTGAAACCGTTATAGAAAATGTTTGCCAAAACGACTCCTGTGGTAGCTTGTGAGGGGGAGCTAAGAGAAACCATATTTTGTGGCTCTCGGCCTGTTCGCTGGTTGATTTCTGGACTGATAATTCCGACTGGTACTGATTTATTGTGAGAGAAAAACACAGTTGTCTGGTTGAAACCAACAAGCGAACAGGCTATCTAGCTCCTCCATGATTCTTGCAAGCAGCCATTTCAGCCCCCCTGCTCCTCCATGATTCTTGCAAGCAGCCATTTCAGCCCCCCTGTTTTGCACGGCTTCACGGCAGGAGCCGGCCCCTTGCCAAACGGACCCTTCCTCTCCTATTATTGGACCCAATATGGATATACAGCTAACCATGCTTGTAAATGGCATAGTCTCTGTCACCATTGGCCTCAAGACACACACCGAGGATGCACAACACTAATCCTTCGTCTATGTTGCCGCTGCTTCACCACCACCCCCTTCTATCACCTTGTGAGCCATCTGTCAGTAAACAAGTTCGCGCAACAATGATGAGCCTGTTCGGCAGGACTAAAAAATAAGCCAAAATACTGTTCCAGCTGATTGTTGTGAGAGGAAAATATTGTTCTGGCTGAATGAGGGGGCTGCCCAGCCAGCCAGCCGAACAGCCCCGATAATGGTGACGACAGCATAGCTCCATCACCATCTTACCCCCTTCCTGACCGGATCTGGACCTCTTTCTCCATCCTCTCTAATTTGACGCAGTTCGATGGTGTTTGGCCAGATTGTTGGAGGATGATGAGGAATTTCCTATTGGCTTAATCATATATCTAGACAGTTAGGTCCTCCTTGGCCTCAACGGGACACCGTGGCCAACAAAGGCGGTGACGTGCAATATGGGACATGCTTCATCGACTTTAGAAGGCTATGCTACGGTGTGTGGTGTGTGTATTGTGACTATGGCGTTGTAGGGCTATCAGCTCGATGAAGTAGTGGGCAAAGGCTTTTGCCTGAAAACAACCACCCCCATGCCAGCACAGCTCTAAATACCCACAAACACCAACTAGCCAACACCACATTGGGCATATCCTTGTGTTACATATATATGTTCCTGTTCTTCTTGGATGGACACAAGACCATTGCCTTGTATTTTGGAACTAGCGACGTGGTGGAGTTGGCAGACAATAATCTAAGATTTGTTAAATCACAAGTAAGTTCTGTCTTTTTTTCTTTTGACTTTAATGTGATTATAGACATGTTCTTTTTTCTTCTAATCTAGACATCAAGAATAATTGACGATTAGAGTACAGTATGAGATAGTTACTAGCTCTAAGATAATTTCTCTTACCATGTTTGGATGTAGATATTCAGCCTTAGAATTTAGAACTGGCATTAGCTAAAACTGGGAGGGGCAAGCAACCAACAAGATAGAGAGTTCTTAAGGAAAACACAGTGGCCTGGCCTTGTTTGGTAACGTGAGCTCTTAATAAAAGCGTGGCGGAAAAAACTATAAGGTCTCATTTACATCTTTGGAATTGAATTTATTTTAATAATCATAATTTAAAACATATTAATTAAGCTAACATGTTGT